ATAAATTATATTATTACCTTGATGGATGTGAATTTGAAGTCATTACTGATTGTACGGCCCTCAAAAGTTTATTAAGTATGAAAACTCCAAATAGACACATGCTCAGATGGCAAATAGCTATTCAAGAATGGAGAGGAAGTATGACTATCAAACATAGAGAAGGTAATATACATAAAAATGCTGATGGACTTAGTAGATGGTCTTTGGAAAATATACCAGACAACCCAGCATGGGACGGAGAAATTGCTGCAAAAATTATGTGTTTATTCCCAGAGGAAAATAATGAAAATAATCCTGCCTTTGATGATAGCAATGATGATATTAATATTTGTGGGTTACACGTGACTGAAATGCAAGAAGAATTTTGGGATGAAATTAGAATTAGTTATGACCAAAATAAAAATTGCTCCACAATAAAGAATATATTACAAAGTAATTTCAAAAATAATGATCTGATCAATTCCTTAGAAGAACCATGGCTTAGCTCATTCAAAGAAAATAGATTCTCTCTATTAGATGGATTAATTTACCACAGAATCAAACATACAAGTGTAGTAGTTATTTGTTTAAAAGAACACATTAATTTATTTTTGAAAGAATGTCACGACAATATATCCTCAGCTCATTTTTCCTTTGACAGAACAATTGAGAGAGTTAAACAAATTGCTTGGTGGCCTAATTTTAGAAATGATACCAAAGATTATTGTGAATCTTGTGACAGATGCCAAAAAGCAAATAAAGCTACAGGAAAAAGGTATGGATTATTGCAAGAAATTGAAGAACCCAAAGAAAGATGGTCTGTTATTAACATGGATTTTGTTACTGGCTTACCACCCGGAGGACCTAATAATTTCAATGCAATTTTAGTAGTAGTTGATAGATTTTCCAAAAGAGCAAGATTTCTACCATGTCATAAAGAAGATACAGCAATGGATACTGCCTTATTATTTTGGAATTCTATTATTTATGATGTTGGATGTCCCAGATATATCATTACAGACAGAGACCCTAAATTTACGTCAGAATTTTGGAGAAATTTATATGATTTATGCGGGACACAACTGAAATTTTCTACAGCTTACCACCCCCAAACAGATGGACTAGCTGAAAGAATGATTCAAACTTTGGAAGACATGATCAGAAGATATTGTGCCTATGGAATGACATTTAAGGATAAAGACAACTATACTCATGATTGGTGTTCATTATTACCTGCACTTGAATATGCTTACAATTCTAGCAAACACAGTACAACAAATAAAACACCTTATGAATTGGAAAGAGGTTGGACTCCTTGGTTTCCCAAAGACATTTTAATGTCAAAAGCAGTACATATACACCCAAGTGCCTCTGATTTTCATTTTATGATGACCAAAGCTGAAAAATATGCAGCAGAATGCGTGAAATTAGCTGTAGATTACAACAAAACTAGATGGGATAAAACTCACAAAGCTCACCAGTTTAAAGTTGGAGACCAAGTCTTGATATCTACATTTAATTTTACAAATCTGACTGGACCTAAAAAATTAAGAGATTCCTTTGTAGGACCTTTTACAATCAAACAATTACACGGTGCAAATGCTGTTGAAGTTATACTCACTGGAGAATTAGAAAGAAAACACCCTACATTTCCAGTCAGTCTAATTAAACCATACAAAACTAGTGATAATGATAAATTTCCTTTAAGAAAAGATAACATCAGAGTTGTAATACCTCCTTTAGAGAAAGAAGAAATTAAAATTAAGAAGATATTACAACATAGAAAAATCAGAAAAAACAATGTGGACATGAAACAGTATTTAGTAAGATACAGTGGTACCAAAGAAGATGAATGGCTTACAGTTGATAAAATACCTGATGCTGATAAAATTCTCAGACAATACAGAGCTGATAAAAGAAAATAACATTCATTTATTTCTTGGATCAGCCTTTTTTAGAGGGAGGAAGTGTCAGCCACAGAGTACATGTCACAGTACCTTTCATGTACCAAGTAACTGCAACACCTGTACTTATGTACATAAGTACTTATCCATAATGTTGATTACCTTTACCTCTTGTTATCTTATCTTTATTATTAACTTATCTTATTTATCTTACAGTTATCCTATCTGTTAATTACTTATCTAGTAAATACATACCTGTGTTCTACATAAGTAATTATCACTTACCTTTCACTCCCTTGTCCGTGAAATACCTGTACCACAAGTTATCCCTCTGCTACAGTATTTTCACGGTCAAATATTATTACAAATAAATATGTACATGTATTAAATAGTAAGTATTAAGTGTCAATAGAATTAATACATTCAATACATGCACAGATCACAATTATGACTACATTATTAGAGGATCTGTTAAGTACACATCAAGAGCAACTAGTACACAATTATGATGTCACTTACAGATCATGACAAATAATGATCAGTCACTCAATTGATGTGCTCATTCTCCTGGCCAAAGCTCCCTTGATTCTGAGCGCTCATTCTTTCCCCCCTTCAGTATTCTGGAACTTATAATCCGTGCCTCTTTCACTGATTAATCCCCAGAATATTCAGACACCAGTTAAACCAGTTAACATTTATATTGATACAGTACCCGTAACCAACATAAATCTTGTCTACATTTATTGTTCTTAAGCTTCAGTACTCTTACTCAACTTATCCACAGTATTCATAGCCTTGCTGAATATTCCCATTAACAATACCTGTTAATCTTCAACTAATTTTGTTAAAGCTTAATAAGTATTGTTAGCCCATTCCCTTTGGGGAATAACCAAATCAATCCCAGGTGAGTCTTAGTACCCTGGATGCCTATTAATACCTTGTATTGATCCGGATGCGCTGTTGATAGCAAGCCTCTCAGTAAAGACCATACTGATAGAGTGAAACCTCCTCTTTACAGGACTGGTATTAATCACCCACTACCTAACACTCACCACGCTCAAAAACTTCAGTCAACTCATAGTAACAACCTTTTTACTATTAAATACTCAGGTTAGTTACCCAGAGGCTGACATCAATAAATTCCCGGAGCACATGTTGAATAAAACGTTGGAAAGTCGCAGGTGCATTGGCCAAACCAAATGGCATGACGGTGTATTCAAACAGTCCCCAAGGAGTTCGAAATGCAGTAAGATACTCCTGACCGGGAGTGACCCGAAGGAGATTGAAAGCTGATTTTAGATCAATCTTGGAGAGAAACTTGCAACCGGCGAGATTGTTTAAGAGAAGGGAAAGGACTGGGATAGGATAACTATCACGGACTGTCATAGAGTTGAGACCTCGGTAATCAACACAAGGCCGGTCAGCTTTGCCTTCAGTTTTAACAAAAAAGATAGGGGCCGCAGCCGGAGAGGAGGAAAGACGAATAAAACCTTTATTTAAATTCTCGTCAACATATTCACGCAGCTGACGTCTTTCTCCCTCACTAAGGTTGTACAAGCCTCCAAATGGAGGAGTACAGCCCTCCTTGAGTTGAATGCGAAAATCAAATTGCGGTCGGACTGGAGGTAGCGCTTGTAAACTAACTACAGTAAACACATCAGAAAAAGATCGCAGAGCAGAAGGGAGAGAAAGGATTTCGTCTTGATTAAGGAGGGAGGAATTATTAGTGATAGACGGTACAACAGGAGAAGATTTGAGAGTGGAAGAAACACCGTTACAGAACAAAGATGATGAAAACAAAAGTTGTCCATCAGGACCCCCGACCCATGCCTTGTTCGCCTTGAGCCAAGGTAATCCTAAGATAATATCAACAGAGGCGAGAGAAATGACATGCAGAGAAACAACAGAAGTCTGAAAAGAATTGCGAGAATCAGAGCCAATTAGGGAGCCGCGCCAACAGTGTGTGACGTCCCCTGAAGAGGCGGGGGAGCCATCGAAGCTTCTGCAGGAAAGGGGGGAAGAAAGTAATGTCAGTTGTAACTGATTCCGTCTTACAAAATCTGAGTCGATAAAGGAATCGCCAGCGCCAGAATCAATGAGAGCAGAAGCGGTAAGAGGTGGGAGAGAGGGGCGTAAAAGGCGGATGGGGATAACTAAACGAGAAGGAGCTAGGAGGGAAGAAGCAATTGTGGTATAGGAGTCAATAGAAGAAACAAACAAAGAAGACTTGCCATCTGGTAATGGATTCCCCTCCGAATCACAACCAAACATCAATAAATCCGCGACAGAGTGATGACCAAGGTGATCCCAAGACTGAACAGGAGGATGGAAAGCGAAATCGACAGCGGAAACGTCGATGTTGGAAACTTGAGCAGTTGGTTGATCGCGGGAGAGGCGGGAGAACAAATCGACTTTGTCTTTCATCGATACCTCGACATTTGGACAAGAGCGATTGGTGATGTGAGCACCGTCGTACGCTTTATGACATCGTTGGCAGAGTTTGTTCTTGACACAAATGGCGCGGTAGAGAGGAAATGTGAATCCGGTACTTGCCGTGATTGCATCGATATCCATGGGAGTTGAAGCTGGAGCTAGTGGTGGCGGAGGAGGAAGTGAAGGTCGATGGTTGGGTTGTCGAATTGCCATGTTGCTTCGGAGTTGATTGAGTTCATCGAGAATGTTGGAGGCCAAAACAGCAAGATCCTGTTTCTTTCGGAGGGTGTCGGCCGTCTTCCAAGAATCCTTGACAATAGCGATTTCCAGAATTCTGGGATTAAGAGCACGCTTATACAAGTCACAACGACTTTCCTCAGTAAGATCAACAGCATAAACCAAAGAACTGAAAAGAGAATTGAAGACATCAAGGGACATATTCCCTTGTTTACAACTATATAAAGCGCGCTTGGCATCCTCTACACTATTCCTATCAGCAAAAGTTTCTTCTAATTTAACTAAAAAGGTACGAATGGAATGAAGACAAGGGATAACATAGGGGTCCTCGGCGGAGGCGAATTGAGTCGGGAGTTCCTGAATTCGAGCATTTTCCTTCAAAATCGACATCCACCAGTTGTAAGAAGGAGTCGGTTCTGAGATATTGCCGTGTGAATGTCGAAAGTGTCAAACCACCCAGTTGATCTTGCTCTTCTCCGTCTGAAATCGAGGTTCGACTTCGATTAATCGATCCTTAACAAAGTAAAGGAATTGGTTGATTTCCTTGGGATTACCGGAGAAGGAAGCATGAGGCATAACTCCAACATCGGTGAAGGAAGGATGATTATTGGGGGCTGGAACTGATTGGAGAGTAACGATTTGTTGATGAAAAAGGAGAAGGCGCTGGGTTACATCTTGAAGAGTTAATCTCATATTATTAACATCGATTCTGAGGGAGGTGATGTCGGCAGAAAGAGTTTCAGAGCGTTGAGTTTCGGCTTGATGGTGGATTTGAAGATTAGAAAGGGCGTCCGCCAGGTTTTGGACTCGTTCTTCAGGGTTGATATCCATTGAAGAAATAAAAAATGTGTTTTAAAAGATCGCAATATTCTTGTAATGACTAAGGATATAGGATCGGGAGTCTCAGAAGATGAGAACTAAATGAATGTCAACAGACGAGCTAAAACGACAACGAAGGTGATAGTTCTCACTTAGAGCAGGAGATAAGTTTGATTTAGGGAGATCCCTGTATTGATTATTAAGGCAGCGATAATGATTGATAAAGAAAACAAAATATTGTGATAGAGAAAAAAGGCACAAAGGAGTGAAATACAAGACTCCTTAAATATTATTTCTAAATACAGGACTTCGCATTTCCGATGGCATTCTTGATCCTCGGAACTCCTTGATTCAACCAAAGCTTTCGATCCTCGGTTCTGCTTGGATAAGAAAAGTATGATCTGGATTCAAAGTCGATAAAAAGGAAATACCTTGATCCGAAGAGGAATAGAGTTCTGAAATCTGTTCTAATTAAATACATAGCTTCTTACGTAAGGATTATCGATTCTTACACTGGACTCCTTAAATATGTAAACGATGACAGTTGGCATGTCCCTGTTTTGAGAGTAATTTCAAAATCTCCATCAAGTTGCCTGACCGCAAGTCTTTCACCATCGAAGATCTTGAAGTGCCTGTTGCTCAAGGAAAATCTCAACATGATGATTTTCCTATTTTTCCGTGCATGATTCTGGAACTCTGAAAAACCAAGTTGGTACAGAAAGTCCCCAAATGCAGACTAGGGACAACGATTGATCCACCTGTTTTCTCACTGTCTTTGCTTGTCATGTCATCGCCTTATGTGCGAAAATAAAACGATAGTGAGGAAAAACAGTTTGCCGGTCGCCGGGGCGGGTCAAAATGCCGAAGAAGCCACACCGTCACAAGTTACTGTTGTTTGTTTCTGAATCGAAACATATACCTTAGGAACTCAAAACCATGATCAATAATTTTCCGTCTGCCTGCTCATCTTCAGAAATCATAGTCTGGCCTTAGGCTGGTGCCCGGGTTGTGATATGTCCAGCTTGGAGATCGTCTGGCCTGTTCAGGGCTCATCTCACGTAAAAGTGGAAGCAAGCGCTCACGTTCAATCCACCCAGATCTGTTCTGAGGCTGCCATTTTGTTGAAAGGGACCTCACTGAGTGGTCTATTAATGCCAGGCTAGACATAAAGTGCTTTACCTCAAGAAAGACAATCAAACAAAAAGCAAACCTGTACATACACATCAACACACTGGGCCAACCGAAAGATGGTACTTGGGGCGGGTGGGCGCGGGCCACATTTTTTTTTTTTTTTTTTTGAAGATTTTCTAATCTAGACCAAACCCCAGTAGGCCCAATTCAAATTGACTCCGGGTCGGGTCCAGACAAGCTGCTTGGAAAAAAAAGAATGATTTTCAAATGAGCAAAAGACATCCAAGAAACAGCACAGAAAGATTGAAATACAAAACTGCTTAAGATTCAGGTGACATGTAAATTCAGTAAGGGGTATGAAGAAGAATAAGAAGAAAAAAAAAAGTGGAAACAAAGTTGGAAAGGGGTTCAAGAAAGAGGAGGAGGGGCGCGGATTTCGTGGATGACGACGGATTCATTGGATGTGTTTTGCCATCCCCTGTCGCCGGATGCTGTGATCAAAAACCGGAATGAAGGAGTCACGCCTATCAAGAGTCACCAGATCCACATCCAACAAAACAAGAAAAAATACAAGTGAGAAAGATATCTTATTTAAGGGGAGAGTAGAGAAAGAGAGAGACATACACATTTGGGAGACGACCCCAGAAGAATGACCGGGGATGATTTTGAAGGGGATTTTAGGAGGTTGATGGGTTGATTTACGGACAGAGGATAAGGAGGTAGGATGAAGGTCAGCATTAAGGTTATAGAGACGAAGGTTATCGAAGCTAGCGCAGAGGAGATGGTTTCCATCCGGCCAAGGTTTGACGCAAGAGACGGGACCAGAGGAGGGAGGAAGTTTGATAGAGCGTTGGATGGCATCTGGATTGAAGATGGGCGAGGAAGGACGAAGGAAGCGGAGATCATAGAGATCGACTGAATGGTTACGACGGCCGACGAAGACCGAGCGGCCGTCGATTGACCAACTGGCCGAGGCCGTCCATGGAGATGTCGATTTGGGCAGGTCGAGTTTCCGCACGTAGCCGTGCGAGCCGCTGCCGGAGACCCGTCGGTCCCACAGATATACCTGTCCGTCGATCCCGCTCGTCATCAGCACGTCGTCATTGATCACCGGCAAGGAGCTATCGAGGACTGATGGGACTTGGGTCAGGTTCGTCGCCGGCAGAACCGGCTTCACCGGCACCACGTTCCGCGGCTTGCTCGTCGCGACCGTCGGCAGGATCAGTGGTGGGGCCGCGGGCTTCGTCGGCACTGGCTTCTCGCTCCCACTGGCTGTGGGTAGGATTAAACCTCCTCCGTTGCCTCCTCCTTTGCCTCGCTCCGGGTTCAGCGTCGCCAGAGGGACAGATGCCTCCGGTGACCCCTCGCCCTCCGATCCCGAGTTATCTGCTCCACCAAATAAGGAGCCATCTTCCTCACTATCTTCTTCCCCGACGATATCCGATGCCAACGGCCGATCGGGAGAGCTGGAAGCCGTCGGCTCAACGGTCTTCTCTAGGACGATCTCTTGACTAGGCGCTTGGGACACTTTGACTGACTCGACCGTTTTCATCTCCGTATCCTCGTCATCATCCTTGTTCTTCTTTTTCAACTCCTGATCATTCGCCTGCTCGCTTCGATCAATCCTCCTCTCCTCCTCCTCTCTCTCCAGCAAGTTCTCTTCAAACTTAGTGTCATAGATCGGAATTTGACTGTCTGGTCGTAACGAAACCGTCGAGATTTGAGAGGCGTGGGCAATGAACTTGTTGACCACTTGTCCCGTATTCAAATCCCATCCCTACAATCCAACGAAATTCCGGACATTTGTGTTAGGAACCTCTGTCTAATTTTCCAGATAAAAAAAAAAGATACTTTCAAGGACGATTCCATCCCACCCCCCACTGAAAGCGACATTCTGGTCGGAATTGAGGGCCAGCGATGAGATCACTGAGCCTGGTTTATGTCCCCTAACGTCCGATGATGAAGTCAATGGAACCACTGAGGGAGGATTGGCTGCCTTGAAGACGTGTCGAATGTGACCTTCGTCGTGTCTGATCGTGAATAGATTAATATTGCCTGACTTTGAGAATTGTTTTTAGAAAAAAAAATCAGATCGGATGATGTGTTTTTTCTTAAGAGAGAGAGAGTAGGCTTACTTCTGTTCCACTTAATCCCCAAAGTTCTTCATTGTGGATTGCGAGACTGTAGACGGGGCTAACCTGAGTAGCGTTACCGACGCTCTTAGGACCCCATTTGAGAGGAGGAGTAGGCTGGGAAGGATCGAGGAGAGATTTATGGTCCTCATTCTCCCAATAACCAGTCAAGAAGATTGTTGTTTTATCGGTATCTTTCTCGATTAGTGGAACATGGCCGCCCTGTTTCATGGTGAGGTTTTCGAGCGCCGAGCCGGTGACCGACTCGTGGATCGCTATCCTTCGCACGAATCCATCCTGTCCTCCCGAGAAAAGATGGGAGCCGCATGGCGGAATGGCTAGTGCATGTACCGGACAGCCGTGCGGTATGAAAACTAGTGGATCGATGATCGGCGCCCTTTGGAACTTTCGCGGCTGAGACACGTTCTGGTATCGCTGTAGTATCTGCTGTCGATATGTGTTTGGGAGTGCACTTCCTGATGAGTTGAGGTCGAGCCTGGTCGATTGATCGGCTGATGGTTGGTTGCTGTTGCTATCGTTGAGTGAGGGGGAATGATTAGCAGTAGTGGTAGTGGTGCTCGGTGGTAATGGTGTTGACTGGTTATTGGTTTGGCTGTTGGGATTGTCCTGCTGAGATTGTGAGTTGGTCTCGGTCGTATCAGCCCTGGAATGTCGATGGCCATCATCATCTGCGGTGTTGGACCTATCCTGGTTCTCCTCTTCCTCTTCCTCATCCTCCTCTTCACGACCATCGCCTTCTCCCTCCTCGTCATCATTATCATCATCATCCTCGTCTCCTTCTTCTTCTTCTTCTTCCCCCTCATCCTCCTCGTCCTCCTCGTCCTCCTCCTCATCGTTGTCCTCCTCTCCATCTTCGTCTTCCTCTCGTTCGATTTCCATGTCATCCTGTCCTTGTTCTGAGCTGTTGTTGTCCGTCTGAGTCGACGAGCCTCGAAGATGTTGTGATGAGGATGAGCAGGGTGGTTCTTCTGCTCCGTCTCCTCTTAACGTTTGACTCTGTTGTTCCTGTTCCTCCTCGTCATCGTCCTCTTCGCTCGAAAACATTTCTTCCTACGTCGTGTTCTGTTGATGTGTGTATCGTGTGTCTCGCTTGTTGACTTTCAGATTTGTAACCCTCGACTATAAGACCTAAGAATGAAAAGAATTGAGACCCAGTCTCATCATCAGTCGGCCAAGTCAACATGTCCCGTTCCCAAGGGAAATATAGTAGACAGTCGAGGAGAAACCAACCGAACCGGATGAGCCCATCCATAACCCGGCAATCGAAACGTCCCACATGATAGTCGTCTTGAGTAAAGATTGACCCAAGCACCCATAATCTGAAATGAAATGCACACTCTTGGAAATTTTGAGATCATCTTGTACAGGTTGTACCTGTTTGCCAAGGAGAACTACTCCATGGGAATCACCCATTGCCAGGGTGGACTCCTATGTGGCCATTGCCTACTCACTGGGGAGGAGCTCTCCCCGGCCATTTCTTTAAGGGGTAAGTGAATTTTACAAACTATTTTTTACAAGACATATGTCTTGTAAACCGGATAGTTTGTAAAATTACGTTTTTATGGGGGTAATGTATAATTTTACAACCCATCTGTCATTTTCGAAGTTTGTAAAAAATTGGTTTGTAAAATATGTTTGTTAAAATTGTATCACAACATGGCATTATGTAATTTTACAAACTATATCATGCAAGTCTTGCATGACTAGGTTGTAAAGTTGTATATCAAAGCTTAAATTTAGAATTTTACAACACATACGCTTGCAAACCTTAATGTCTTGTGAAACTACGTATGTAAAAAAGCTTATTGGCACCCTGTAATAGAATTTTACAACACATAGTTTACAATCTATCATTAAACTTTCAATACATATCCATTAAGCTTCATATAAGGTTCATACAAACATTTGACAAACACAGCATATCATGGGTGATATGCCAGGCCTTCTCAAGTTCTCCCATCCTTTTTCGATCACCGACAACAGAGAACTCAACGCCTGACAAACGCCGACGCCATCCAGCCTAAACAGAGAAAGAGAAAACGTTCTCAGGATGTCAGAACCACGGACGACAGGCGACGAATCGATCCTTCCGACGGGTGCAACCGACGCCAGGGAATCAAACGATGACGCCGGCGTCGATCCCCGTCCTCGGCCGTTGTTCAACCCGCCGTCTACCGCTTCCACTCCCCTCGGCACAAATCCACCAAGTCCCTGGATCATCACCCCGCCAGAGTTGCTTTTTACCGCCAGCCCCCATTTGGAAACCCCCGATATCGACAGCGAAATGAGGATAAAGATCAATTCAGTGAGATCTTCGGATTCGAAGCGATCACAGAAGACCGCTAGCGCGACGGCAAAAGACATGAAAGCAAAAAAAGAAGAAAAAGAAGAAAAACAAAAAAAACAAAAAAAAGAAGAAAAAGAAAAAAAAAGAAGACTTGACTTCAATGCCATCAAAGAAGACGGCTGGCGCGACGGCGAAAGAGGCGAAAGAAAAACAAGACGAAAAAGAAAAAAAAAGATGAAAAAAAAGAAAAAGAAAACATACCGTGGATGATATCGTCGACCGAGAAGCAAACCGACAACAATCTAATTGAAAAGAGCGAGGATCGAATAGAAATGAGCGAGGGTTTCGAGGATGAGGAGGTCGCCGAGGAGGAGGTCGACCACCTCGACCAATCGGACCACGGACCAGACCACGAACCAGAGGAGGATAGCCAATCTGAAGATGGCCATCCTGGAGCAAACATTGCGGATTCGGACGATACGGATGCCGTGCGAGATCCGCAAGCGAACGCGAAGGAGTGGTTCCTCCCAAATTTGGAGGACACCTTCGAGACCTACATCGATCACGGGTGTATCCTTGACGGGTACCCGATCTATCCCAACGGAAAAACGATCTTCGTGCGCAAACCTGGCGAGACGGTGACGAACTTCGGCACCGTTGGTTTTTCGAAAACATCCTCAAGCAATAAGCGAGGTATCAACAACGATTGGAAAGTTGTTCGTTACTTCTGCCTGGGGGCCCTGGTGTGTGACGATCCTTCTTGCCAGTGGGCTGGCCCCCCCCCAACCGGAAAAGGTGGTAAACAGAAGCTTGAAGAGGGGTAAGCCCCTTTTATCATTATTTCTTGATTGATTCTCCTTCTGTTTGATGGTTTGTAAATATATTTGCAAGAGTTGTAAAAATTTTTACAACTCTTGCAAATATTTTTACAAACCATTGCCCCACATGGCTTCATGACCTTTACTGACCATGTATGTAATTTTGCTACCAAACAGGAAAACAAGATGTCCCGGTAAATCAGGGAAATGCAAGGGCAATGTTACCCACAAGAAATGTTGCCGAAACTCCGTGGCTGTAAGATTCGATTACCACTTGCCTACCGGATGGGGTCTCCTCAGGCACAAGGGCACGCATCCGCATCCGTGGCCTGAGGCTAAAAAGCCTGACCCCATGTCCAAGGATGAGTTGAAAGCGGAAATTTTGAAGAATCTGAGTGCGGGGGCACTTAAACTTAAGGTGAGTTGGTCCCACTTCCTACTTTCCTGATCATATTCCTCATGTTCTGTGATTTCTATGTTATGTAGACTGGAAAGCGGACCGATCCAGCTGCCGGCGCAAATAGTGTAACTGAGATCCATCCAGCTTATATCAACAAAGACCGATTGGCGTATTACCGGCGTAAGATGCTCGTTGAATTGAACTTGGTTCCTGACAAACTTGGGGGAGGAATAGGAGACAAATTTGTCTTGGACATGTTTGCGTGGGCTGCGTGAGTTATTTCTCTTCTTATGTTATGTCTCTTCTTGAGTTGAGTCATTGCTGATCCAATGTGTTGACTGTATTTGTTCTCACAGGCGTGGCTTGTTGATAACGTCTGCTTCATTCTTGCCACAGAATGAACACTTCACATTCCAAACCCAATGGATGGCCGATCGACTACTTGCTAGGGATGAGAATAATCAGGTCTACAGCGGGGGTCTCATATCCGATGTCACGTACCGATACTTCGAAACAGGCTACTTGCTCTCAACCTCAATGTACTGCGAAGACCTTCACCGATGGATACCGATCCAACTGACTTGGATCCGCGGGTTGAGTGAGGAATACTACAAACTCCATTTCACCACACTCTTCAGACAGTTTCAAGCCGCACCAGTAACACCTGCCGAACGTGACACGCTAGTCCGCCAAGTGGTTGACTTCTCCAGTGCTCAAGCCGAGGGATTTGTCTCAGCGTATCTGGAAGTCTTTCGTCAGGGAACTCGGAAAGAGGGGAGGCGCATGCTGAAAGGGTGTCGGGAGCATTTCCGCCAGTCTGTCACACGAATCAAGCGTAATCGGGCTCTCATGACTGCTGACGAGGAGGTGAGTAATTTTTGCTCTGGTGAGATGTATCTCCTAATAATTTGACTGATTTCAATGTAACATACCCCCAGGAGCCTTTCCAAAAAGCATGCATGGATCTCTTGGAACACCAAGAAGCCGGCGGGAAGACTCATGAAGAGAAGGTGGACTTCATTAGGCGACGTTATCCCAAAGTTCGCAAGTGGCTCGATTGGTGGACGGTTTCTGACATTGAGGCCCTCCTCTTTCCATCGCGACAACCCCGACTCGAGGATACTCCTGACGGTCTTCCCGATACTACCAATGCCCAGGAGAGTATGCACCGGATCTACTACAGGCTGAGGTAAGCTTAAATTCCCCTGTGAACTATTTGCAGGCTTCCCAATGAAGAAAGACGCTCATTTATTGGTTGTAATGTAGTGACGGGAAACAGTGCATCATGGTTGGAATGGTTGACCTGTTCTCCTTTGTGAAAATGTTGGAAGAAGATTGGAAAGCTGCGATGAAGGGGATCCCGATTTCCTATGGGGCCAACCCCACCACGGACATTGGCACCACCCTTGGTATCGCGAAGAAACGCAAACGTGGCGAAGGGAAGTTCATCAATGATGGAAGGCCCCCGGACACAACAGACGAGCTTGTTGATGGAAAGAAGAAGAAAAAAGCGAAGCTTGGCAGGCCCCCCAATTCAACAAACTTCAACAAAAGCCTCTGGTCAGCTTATCCATCTTACCACGCGAATAAGGACAACCCAACTCGAAGAAACCGCTGTTGGCTCGCCGCAGGTCTTGAATCTCTTTATGCTCTTTTCAGCCCATTATGGCTCCGTGGAATCAGCGGTCATGGGAAGGACGTCTTCACCGCAATTGCTCATCACTTCTCATTTCGATCAACTGGCGAACTAAATGGCAGTAACGCAATTCGTTCAACTTTGACGCGTGGACAAAACATGGTATTTGATGTTCTCAGTCCTAAATATCCAGGACGATTCGTTCCCGGCGCGTTTGCTTCTTGCGATTACTTCCTTGAGGTCGCGTTGGATCCCCAACTTCACAAGAAGGATGAGTATAAGCAGCTCTTCTCGATTGATGAACATCGAACTTTCACCTGCGAACTCCAGCCGAATAAATTGCAGAAGCACCCCACTCGAGATCACCGCACCCTTCATGTCTTGACAATCAAGCCGCAGATGTTTGATGAGAATCGGATTCCTCACTCTGATGTATCAAAGCTAATCGAGATGTGGCAAACCGATGGATTGCTGGCAACTTCGGGTATGATCTGCAAACACTGCAATCCAAACAAACCAAAACCAAAGCTCCCGAAGAACGCCAAAATTCAAAAAGTGTCTTCCGATGTCGACATTGTCAAGCTGCTTGGACCCTCTGAAAACACATCACACCACATAATTGATCGATCAAGATTGGCTGTCCCAGCAAATGGAGCCCCGCTTCATCTTAATTTCTATGTAGATGTCACCGGCATAACCGACGAGAAACAGAAAAATAACTTTATGGGATCGATCGATTGGCCGTTCAAGATTAACGTTGGAGGCGCCACATACACTCTGATCTCCCGGGGCTACTGGCAACACAATCACTACTGGTGTAAGGTCCTTCGAAGTGCTAACATCTCAGCTGACAAGGGTAGTTTGACCGCAATTTGGTTACACAACGACGCCGAGAATGATGGGTATGCTCAACAGATCAATCGGGTTCCCAGTTCAATTGCCGGAGTGGAAGAAAACACAAGCTGGCTCCTTTATTCGCGCGACTGGACACCTTCGGAGGAAGAATATGTCAACAACGCTATTCAGAAAATCGTAGCCGAAAATCCAGAAGCTGCTGGCGATGTCCCTTTCAAGGAGATGAAGTCAATTTTGAACACATCACACAGCTCGACGTTAATTCCCCACACCACCACAAACGAAGTTAAATCTACTCCTCCAACTACTGTCACATCCCAGGCCAGAGAAAAATCGCCTTCAACAACTATGGGTAATGCTCCAAAAAATTACACTTCACCAGTCAAAGGAACAACTCCGATTGCACAACTCGCCTCTCAAATGAATGCACAGATTGCTCGAAAGTATGCACTAGACCAAAAAGAACCAGACACCAAACAACAGTGTTCCTTGGATGCAGAAGTCACACTGGAAATAGATGAATCATTCCTCTCGGTTGGCGACAAATCTCATGGTGATCAATCTTTTGTGCTTGGCGATCAATCTCTTGGCGAATCTCATGGTGATCAATCTTTTGTGCTTGGCGATCAATCTCTTGAATCCCATGGTGATCAATCTTGTGGTGAAGATGGCAACAAAGACGGCGGTGATCAAACCTTTTCTCTTGGTGATCATACTGGCGAAGACGGTGGTGATCAAACCTTTTCTCTTGGTGATCATACTCGCAAAGACGGTGGTGATCAATCTTTTGCTCTTGGTGAACAGTCTCTTGGCAATCAAACTGGTAATCAGTCTCTAGCGGATGAAACAGATGATCATGTTACTCAAACTCAGGTGAAACACAGTCAAGAGGATGAAGAAGTCCCTCAGAAACCTCCAATACGGTTCAAGGTCATACTGAGACCACCTGAGCAACGATCACCTCCAAGTACCAAAGGAAAAACCCAGGCTTCAAGACGATCAGTGAGAAAGAAAAAATGAGATTGAAAGATTGTTCTCCTGGACTGACTTCACTTTTCCATTTATTCTGTTTGAGGCTCTGCGGTTTTTATTTTTGTTCTGCTTTTTGAATTTTTTTTCTTCTTTCGTTCATTCCTTTTTGTTTGGTTTGAGGCTGTGTCTTTAACTTTTTTGCCCCTTTTATCTTTTGTTGAGGCTGTCTTTCTCTTTTTTCTTTTGATTGCCTTTTATTGTTTTTTTGAGGCTGAGTCCTTGATGCTTTTTTTTTTTATTTCTGTGTTGATTTTTGTGTCTCCCTCTTTTTTTTTTTTTTTTTTTTTTTTTTTTTGGGAGGGTTGCAAAATATGGTTTGTAAAATTCTATTTTACATACCTTGTTGTGCAATTTTACAAACCATAATTTACAACACATAGATGGGTTGCAAACTAATGGTTGCAAAATTCCTTGAAATGAGGCAAAAATGTACTTTTGCAAACCATATTGTTTGCAAGACATAAGGGTTGCAACATATGTGCCTTAAAATTCTACTTCATGGGGCATGGGTTGCAATTTTAAGGCACATATGTTGCAACCCTTTTTTTTGCAACCCATATTTTTGGGTGATGGTTTGTAAAATTATACATTACCCCCATAAAAATGTAATTTTACAAACCATCTGATTTACAAGACATATGTCTTGTAAAATATAGTTTGTAAAATTACAGCGACCCTTTCTTTAAGATTCCTGCTCACCAAGGAGCCTGCTAGTGCTCGGTGAATGGGTACACCTTGTAACTGCTCCCCGAGTAGGAATCTTCCTCGGCAAGCATGTAAAGGCCAAGGACCTTCAAGCTTCCTCCCAAACGAGCAGCCACAAAGCGGGCGCTTGTGGATGCTGTCTTGGGAGAAAGTGTCCTTAGCTAGAAGTTACAATCCATCTGCCAAGGTGGAATCCAGCCCAGCAGGTGGGTCCTTGTACCGAACTCATCTCATCCAAGGTGCACCCACCCGCCGGCCCAGCGGCCAAGTTGCAAAAGCCCAAATGAGTAGTATGCACTTGCAGAAGATTTTTTTTCCCATTTTTTTTGGTTGCCATGGTTCCGAGGGATTATCATGCGGGACGATTCATTCATGCATCCATAACCGAACAGAAGTGAAGCACCTCCGACACCTAAAATCGTAATAGGTAAACAAGGTAAATGAGATTGGTTTTCATATGTGGCGGGTTGATGACACATTCCAGCCTGTTGACCACTCCACACCAGTGGTAGACTCAACCGCGATTCAAAGCCCAAGACGATGAATACATGGCTCAACAGTCAGTCACCCTTAATCAAAATTCATCTCAACAGCTCGTACACACACATGATTAGAGGGAAAGTCTTACGACTCAAAACCCACCAAAAGAGTAGCATGATCGGCGAGGAGATGGGACGGAAAGGAGAGGCGACTGTCTGGATGGACCGATGACCAGAGCCACAAGCAGCAGCAAAACAAGGCAAAACACACAATTCTTCAAGCTGTTATCAATTTTCAAGTTCAAATCCGGGAGTTGTTGGCACAAACACACGCGTTGGTGGACGAGACAAAAAGAAACTACAATCACGGCAGCTGGACTGTTAATATTCAAACAGGACAAGCCAAGTGGTCTTTGGTAAATGTGCTTCTCTTTAAGGAAAGAAGTGTGCAACAACCACAACATAACCCCACCGGAGGATATCCATTCTCATTTCCAGAAAGGAATCCACCCCACCAGCTGATTTTCTGACACATCCTTCCTGTGATCAACGAAATCTCAGACAGTTCGAATGCCTTCTTCAGATTTTAAAATGGGCATCTGCTTTGGCAAAATGGAATTTCTCAAATTTATTCCGGCTAAATCTGTTCAACTTGGTCTTTCCTTCGGAGGGTGGCTTCACGACAGGGTTTTACTCCCCCCCCGCCCCCAACGAAGAAGGAAGGACTTCATCAAGTTAGAGATTGGTATACTTGACCGTTACTCGGAGTCGATGTGCACTGGCGGCTAAACCATAGCCGACCCGCTGTACCACGGCTACGCCGGTCAGAAAGTACCTGCCGGGCTATTATTTCTGCAGATGAGCAGGGAGACGCAAAACTATCGATCATGGACTTGAGTTCCTATGCTATAGTTGTCAGCCACAGAGTACATGTCACAGTACCTTTCATGTACCAAGTAACTGCAACACCTGTACTTATGTACATAAGTACTTATCCATAATGTTGATTACCTTTACCTCTTGTTATCTTATTATTATCATTAACTTATCTTATCTTATTTATCTTACATTTATCTTATCTGTTAATTACTTATCTATTAAATACATACCTGTGTTCTACATAAGTAATTATCACTTACCTTTCACTCCCTTGTCCGTGAAATACCTGTACCACAAGTTATCCCTCTGCTACAGTATTTTCACGGTCAAATATTATTACAAATAAATATGTACATGTATTAAATAGTAAGTATTAAGTGTCAATAGAATTAATACATTCAATACATGCACAGATCACAATTATGACTACATTATTAGAGGATCTGTTAAGTACACATCAAGAGCTACTAGTACATTGATCAACTAGTACACAATTATGATGTCACTTACAGATCATGACAAATAATGATCAGTCACTCAATTGATGTGCTCATTCTCCTGGCCAAAGCTCCCTTGATTCTGAGCGCTCATTCTTTCCCCCCTTCAGTATTCTGGAACTTATAATCCGTGCCACTTCCACTGATTAATCCCCAGAATATTCAGACACCAGTTAAACCAGTTAACATTTATATTGATACAGTACCCGTAACCAACATAAATCTTGTCTACATTTATTGTTCTTAAGCTTCAGTACTCTTACTCAACTTATCCACAGTATTCATAGCCTTGCTGAATATTCCCATCAACAATACCTGTTAATCTTCAACTAATTTTGTTAAAGCTTAATAAGTATTGTTAGCCCATTCCCTTTGGGGAATAACCAAATCAATCCCAGGTGAGTCTTAGTACCCTGGATGCCTATTAATACCTTGTATTGATCCGGATGCGCTGTTGATAGCAAGCCTCTCAGTAAAGACCATACTGATAGAGTGAAACCTCCTCTTTACAGGACTGGTATTAATCACCCACTACCTAACACTCACCACGCTCAAAAACTTCAGTCAACTCATAGTAACAACCTTTTTACTATTAAATACTCAGGTTAGTTACCCAGAGGCTGACAATTGGGGGTCTGGCCTAATTGGAATTCCGTGACTAACATATCTCCGTGCTTCTTTTACCTTTTGTCCCCAAAACATTTACTACTAACAATGGCCTTCTGAAGAACAAATGCCGGAAGTTTTGCCATTTATTAGACAAATAGATAGTACAATTGCAGAAGAAGCTAGTAGATATTACCACAACCACCCGGATAACATTACAGTTATTGAAAGAGTAGAAAAAGTGAAAGTTACAGAAGCAGAAGATAGATTCTGGAACTACATAGAAACTAAGCGCTACCATTGTACCCTTCATTCTACCTATTCCCCTGAATACATCCTCATAAATCTTGTAGAAGAAGACGAGTCTATCATAGAAAAACAGTAGAAACAAACAGGAATAACTTCTTTACAGCGTTAGAAGAAACCCCTAAATATAGAACTCTTCCTACTAACATCTTGTCTAGAACTGTCCGCTACTACACTCTTCCACCTTTCACTGCTTGTTCTCCGCCTCAACCCAACTCTATAATCATAGATCTCACGGATTTAGAATAAATTAAGCTTGTTTTTATCTCATCTCATTTCCTTAGTATCAGAAATAAAAACACCAAAAAACACAAAAATAAAATTCTTGCGCTATCTGTTTCACTCATCTCGTGCCACAAAAAATCACAAAAATATTTCATTATATTTCCATTTGATTCATCCACACAGAAAAAATTGAAAACCCTTAAAAAATACGTCCGTGTCCCTTCAAAAAGTCTTATTTTTTCAGTCTAAGTCACTTTACACTATCACGGAGAGAGAACCGTAACAGATACAGACATTCTGAGTCGACCATTCGATCCGCCGTACCCTGTTTACACTACTAGGTTTTTTTCCTGAGCCTTGAAAGTCTACCATTCCTACGGCGTGAGTGGATCTAGTCTCATTTACCCATCATCTCGAGGGATTAGTACCTGGTCAAAGTCTAATACACCTGGTCGAAGTCTAAAAATAGAGTTATCTCACGTGTACATAAGGTTCTGCAGGCCGTATTACACAGTTACAACTCAATACACCCCGGATTTGCCAGGATCTGCAAGGATCTACATACATACAGATCTTCCGTACTACCACTCCCGCCTAGTACATCACCCCTCCTACTAAAATCGTCGAAAGTGATCTTTCCTGATCTTTGAGAGAGTGTAGCTCCTTCATTATTTGAGCTACATCGACAAACAAGATACAGAACTCATTGCCTTTATAAGACGTATCCAGCGCCACCTTCCTTTCCATCCTCACTCAACTCCTTCACCCAGTTTCAGTAGCAAACACCGACCTCTCAAGTTTTCGACCAGAAGTACCTTGAAATATTTCATCCTGAAAAGTTGAGCGTGTTCCTTAGCTTCTGAACTTATCTCTCGAACAAAAAATTTCTGAAAAAGCTCAAAAATTGGTTGTGTAACAGTGTCCGCCGTCAACAGCACCCTTAGCGCTAACATCCAAAACTTGGAAGTACACGACAAAAACACTGCGCCAAGAGACAATAGAGCCCAATCTCCTCAAACAACTAATAGGGAAGCCTCAGTAGTTGCCTCAGATAAATCCTCAGGTAAATTTAACACCTCTACATATTTTTTGTTATCAATTTTCACCGGGTTAAATTTTCCTACTAAGACCTGTTTTCTTTTACCATGTCTCCACCTTCTCTTAGACTTAGAGGTTATAATGGAAGGACCAGAGACGCTCCACCATCCCAGAGAGGATTTCCACCAGCGTCAGTTTTACCGAAGAATAAGGATAAAATAATTTACGCGTCGAAAAAGAAACTAACATCTCC